TAAACAGGAACAGTGATGGTCAAGTTGCAGTATAGTACAAAAATTAAAATAGGTTTTTAAACCCTAGCTTTACTACTTTTGTGTGACCTCGGGCAAGATCATTTGCCTTTTCAAAGTCTCCATTTTCTCTTCTGTAAAGCAGGAGGCATGTAGGGAGGATAAGATGAGAAATCAAGCGTAATACTTAATAAACAATAAATGACATATTATTATCATAAATCAAAATAACCTATCATTTCCATATCTAATTACCCCCATTTTGAATTTCTGCCTGAATTAGCTCTTGTTTCAGTTCTTCAATTTCTTTCTTCAGTTTAGCGTTTTCAACTCGAAGTTTCTTCTCTTCTCTCAAAGTTGCCTGCAAAACTAGGATCAAGAAAATCCAGTTAAAATATGTGTTTTTTCAAAGGTTTTGTATGAATACTATTTGAAAAGAGGATAGGCAATATAAACGGAGTGAGGAGAACACTAGTAATCAAATTTTCGGCTAGTTCCTTATGCCAGTTTAATATTTATTAAAACAACATGATGAGAGAGAGAGAGAGAAAGAGAGAGAGTGAGCAAGGGAGAAAATCTGTGAAATAATAGTGGAACAGAAAAAATTTTGTTTATGAATCATTTTCCTAGCTTCTATAAAGATGCTTACTAAAATGAAATTATCACCTTTTCAGCACTGTAGATATAATAAAGGGCAATGATAAATAACTTAAGAAACTGGCATGAAAGTGTCAATAACAGATAAACTGTACTAGAGATAAGTATTAGATACATTAAATTATATATTTAAAAAGTATGAGACCCAATGATGATATCACATAAGGAAAAACTATTCTCATCTCTTTTTAGTCATTACTATGTAAAAGAAGCTGAATAATATTTTATTCCTAAAGTCTCAAAGTTGAGCTGGTCAAATATTCAATAAGTGAAATAACTTCAAAGATTTGTTCGAAATATAACGTATGTTTTAAAAAATAAGGTGTGTGTTAAAAGTGAGCAATAGAGCATGCGAAATACAACAGGAAAACAATAGTTCTCAGCGGGGTTGGTATTGCTCCCTGGGTAGAATTTTGAAAATCTGTGGGATTATTTTTGGTTGTCACAAATAATGGGAGTCACTACTGGCCTTTACTGGGAAGGGGTCAGGGATGCCAGATGTCCTGCGATATGCTCGATATTCGTGCAAAATGAAGAAATGTCTCACATTCTGCAGAACTTTCCAGTGATCCATTGTATATTTACACAGGTGAAAATCCTGTTAATAATTATTTGAGTCTAGATTCTAACTATTCTTTATACATAAACACAAAGTATTTTTCAGCATTTTTATTACATACTAAATTTTTTAGGAATCAAATACCTTGTAAATCAAGAGTAGCCTGTACCTTGTTTTATTCAGAATTCTATCTAAGAAATCACTCAACATTTTGAGTAAATCAGATACATCACTAAAAACTGCTTCTGGTACCTGAGCTGCCTACACAAAGGCAGACTAAATATGGATCATTATTATAGCTGGCATTGTACCTGCTGCATTCTGGGAGAGTCCAGGTACGTGAATCACGTAGCATGTGACCCTCTCGCAATACCTCTGGTAGTGTAGTTCCACTCAAAGTATTACTTTTTTGTTTGAGATACGGTCTCGCTCTGTCACCCAGACTGGAGTGTGGGGCCTCATCATAGCTCACCGCAACCTCAAACTCCTGAGCTCAAGTGATCTTCCTAAGTAGCTGGGACTATAGGCACATGCAACCATAATTCTTAAAATATACATTATTATTACTACTATTTATAAATTACTTTCTTTTTATTTCTCCTCTATACTACATATAGTGTTAATACTATGTTTTGAAATTAGGTTATCTTATCTAAAAAAACATTTTCTTCACAGGACATTAACACAGATTTTACGAAATATTTCTTGTAAATGAGAACCACCAGGATAGGTTACCAAAGAAAATAATATAAAGGTGAAGAATAAATAGTTCCTTTTTAAAAAGAAATCAGCAAAACTGAAATGCTAGTCAAGACTCTAGGAGATGGCCAGTCATGAGAAAAAAATCAGGCTATAAAATACATTGTATCGCACAAGCAATGATCACCTCCAATCTCTTTATTTTATTAACAGAAAGAAATATTAAGAATTTAAAAAAAATAATAAGAGAAATCCTGGGAAACGTGATAAAAAAGAAATAATTAAACCAGTATTTTAAAATTGGGGGAAGAATTATACAGGGAAATTTTTTTGGAGAGTAAATGTAAGCTTCTGTAAGCCATTTGCAGTTTTAGGCAGGAGAGAAAGTATTTATTTCTATTAGTGATAGCAAAAGATTTTGCAATTTCTATTACGACATTAACATTGGCTATTGAGAACTAAAATATATTTAAACAAACCCAAAACCAAACTAAGTCCTGAAGGTAGAAATTCAGGTTTGATACTTTTATACATATAACAGCAAATTCTATGTAAAACTTAAATATTTCCATGTAAAAATCATTTTAGAAAATGCCTTAGTACAGAGTAATATGAATATACGTTCTTCTCCACATAAGGTTAGAGGAAATATTTGACTTCATGTTTGATTTCACCCAATTTTCTTCATTTCTAACTTCTAATGCTATTCCAACTTATTTTAAACATTATAATCTTCCTTTAGCAGTCCTGAAATAATAATACACTGTTTTCTCTACATATCATCTACTCAACACATATCGATTCTACTTTATTTAATCCTAGAATATTTTTACACTCAAAATTTAAAGGAATCTGAAAGCTAGCATCAAGATGATTAAGTAATAATTTATGTGATAAGCACATTTCATTTGCTGTCAATATATGAATTCATTTTAAGTATCTCCTTAGAAAATTTCAGATTTTCTTACTTGCTTTCTCCTTAAGAAGAGCAACTTGCTGCTTAAGATATTCAATGATTTGATCTGCCTCTGCACCCTTCTGCTCCAGTCTCTTCAAAACAGCATCATTATTTGCCATTTTTGCCAAGAAACGGCAGAAAATCCTAAATGAAAAAATAGAAGTGATAAATTACACTGTGAAAAGAATAAATTTATTGTACAGGACACTGTGGAAAAAGCAGTTTTTGGCATTAGAAGCTCTGGAAACAGGTTTTCTAGTACTTGTCGATTAACTGTCATTGAAATATTTCAGAAACACAGGATGGACACATGAGTTTATGTTAGTGTTGTCTAGTAATATCACCATTCAGTTCAGGGATGCCTTTCTGTTCCAGGGTACACAGTGTATGAGACAACTTAACGTGAATACCTTTAAGCAAAGCATATACAGACCTCAGCACTCCTAGCTGTCTGTCATTTATGTTACCTGCCGGGTCTATAAAAGTAATTTAAGTTCACGACACCAACTTTACAGTCCCCAATTTTGTCCCACGTGCTGGGATTATAGGAAAGAACAAAAATCCACATGTTCTTTGCACTGTCTAAGCTTTCAGATAAATGGGGGAAACACAGTAAATTGAAGAAATTTTTTAGAATAAGGCTATGTTTAGGCCAACAGTGGTAGCAACACTGCTTAAAGCTCAGGCAAATCTTTTTCCATTCAACTCAGTGCTCACTTCATTACTGTATGCTAATCGCTCCACTGTGATTTTTCAATTTTACATTGAGTAGAAGCTAAATTCCAAGATTTTAAGAACCCTTAGTCTCCTCAGAGCTTCTAACATGCTAACATGCACAGGGTTTCTCACAGATGATAATATTAACATATTTGCAGAGCACTGACTATGACTGGCTAGACGCTTTACACGGATCACCTATGAATACTGTAATTACCCCCATTATACAGAGAAGAAAACTTGAATTAAAATTAATTTGCCCCAGGCCATAAAGCTATTTAGTAAATGAGGAGTGAAACTCAGGTCTGTTGGATACTGCAGCTAGATCCTTTAATGCCTGTGCTATAATTTCTCTAAAGTATAATACATAATTATGAAGCATTTTCAATGTATTGAATGACAGAATCCTAACAAAGGAACATCTATCAACATTTAATGAAACCGGTATTCTCTAAAACAATTTGGGAAATGCTGGTTTAGTCTCAGTGCTAAAAAAATAAAACAAAATTATGAGATTAAAATAAATATAACAATTACGAGTACAGTAACTGCAAATACAAAACATTTGTGGAGAGAAAAAAGGCACAGAAAACAGTATACCAAGTATGTTGTGTCTGAATGGTGAGAGTCAAGGCCTTTTCTTTTTCCTTTTCTAACTTAAAATAGTAATTGTAAGGAACATATTTTTTATGACAAAATCTTTTGAAAAGTATTATCTAAATCATTCTGTCTCTTCACATTACTTTTGTTCTTTTCAATGTTCAAACCGTATTTCATCAAACTTAAAAAGCCATTAATTATACAAAGCCTCTAACACAAGTTACCAAATACTGCATATGAATTAATCATTAAAACACACAAACAAAAGACTATTTTTGAGATTACCTTCCTTAACATTTTTGTTTACCTCGGCTATTTCCCCAGTAGGCAATAATAACTATGCTACAACTGCCAGTTGGTCTATATTGATTTTAAGATGTCAACAATTTTAAAGTACACCTGTATTTCAGAGATGCAAATATGAAAAACTTGTGTATCAGAATTGATGAGCTATAGCAATTTTAATCACCTTTTTAAATCACTTTTTAAATTACTTTTTAATCACTTTTAATTGCCTTTCTTCTCCTCCCTTCATCCCTATTCTTATCATCCAACTTCTTTCCTTCATTTGCTTCACAACCAAATTACCGAGTTACCCCACACTTAGAGAACATCTTTATTATAGCAGTAAGCAACGTGGTACCTTTCAGAACTAGGTTAAAATTCCTGCTAGGATGTAAAACATGTATGTCAAAAGTCATCAGAATTTAGAGAAAAGTAAATAATAAAATTACATATGCTGAGAACGATGCATCTCAGAGACACTGAAAATATTTAACAGCAGCAACCAGCAGTAATTCCAGGGGTCCTTTATCAACCTTTGCCCAAACCTACAGAAGGAAGATCTAAAACTGCTTTTTTTGTGTGAAAATTCATACTTATTCTTGATTGTTTCCCTCACCAGAGAGCCTTCCTTCCCTTTACTGATGAGGGCACTGGGGGTCCTCAAGGGTTTAGAGGATAGCTATGAGGGGACAGCTATAGAGTCAATGGCTATTAGAGGACAGTTCATGTGTTTCCAGATACTATAATCATTAACACGAAAACTTCTCTCCTCAGTAAAGTGTGCATAAAATCTAAAAAGGAGTACGTCTAGGCCTCCCATGATCTTACCTTGCGATAGGACTTTCAGCTGGTTCAGATTTTCAATAGTTTTTTTTTTTTTTTTTTTTGCGACAGAGTCTCACTCTGTTGCCCAGGATAGAGTGCTGTGGCGTCATCCTAGCTCACAGCAACCTCGAACTCCTGGGCTCAAGCGATCCTCCTGCCTCAGCCTCCCGAGTAGCTGGGACTACAGACATGCGCCACCATGCCTGGCTAATTTTTTTCTATATATATATTTTTAGTTGTCCGATTAATTTCTTTCTATTTTTAGTAGAGATGGGGTCTCGCTCTTGCTCAGGCTGGTCTCGAACTCCTGATCTCAAACAATCCACCCGCCTCGGCCTCCCAGAGAGCTAGGATTACAGGCGTGAGCCACCGGGCCCGGCTCAGATTTTCAACAGTGTTTAACAATCCTTTCCACCCACTGATAGACGCAGCACTGTCTCTCTCCCACTCCTTATCTGAGACCACAGCTAATAATAACAGCTACTACTTTAACGGAGTAGGCCCATCGCATGCCTTGCCATTTAATCTTTGCAACCCTGTAAGATATTATTCCCATTTTATAGACTCAGCAAAATTATATGACTTGTCTAAAACCATACAAGTATCAAATGGCAAGGCCATTCGTTTAATTCACACTAAAATACATTTTTAAAGTGCCTCCCTAATTAAAGAAAATTAACCTGTCATCCATAATTCTCTTACATATCTAAATTAAGTGCATCACACCTGAATGTTTTTGGCAGCACAATTCACTATTGCAAGGATGTGGAAACAACCCAAGTGCCCGTCAATTCATGAGTGGATTATTAAAACTTGGTATAAGTATACAATGGAATATTGCTCAATTATAAGAAAGGACAGTGATCTAGCACCTCTTATATTTTCCTGGATTGAACTCGAGCCCCTTATCCGAAGTGAGGTATCACAAGATCGGAAGAACGGGCTCCACTTGTACTCGCCGTCAAATTGGTACTAACTGATGAACGTTATGGTGCTCAGGTGGCAGTAATACTCCTTGGGGATGTGGGGATTTAGGGGGGGATCAACTCACAACTAAAGGACACAGTGAGCATTGCAGAGGGGAAGGGCATGCCTCTAACCCTCGCTCGGGTGAGGCAAAGACATAAAACGTAACCAAAATGTTCGTACCCTCCTAATACCCTGAAAGAAAAAAAATCAAAAAAATAAAATAAATTAAGTGCATCACGAATATGACTGGTCATTTCTTAACACCCACCGTCAAGCCACCACTGCGTTTTCTCTGGATGACTGCAAAAGCCTCCTAACTGGTCTTTCTTCCACCCTGTTCTCCATAGTCTATTCTTTATGGCAGCCAGAGTGACCCTATTAAAAGGAAGTCAGATCACATTACTGTACTGCTCAAAACTCTCTAATGGCTTCCTATTTTATTTAGACTAAAGTCAGAAGCCCGCAAGATCCTTCAAGACCTGTTGGTGCTCTCCCTAATTTTGTCTCCGGTGAAGGCTTAAACCTTCCACTCAACCCACCTGCCGCTCTGCTTCACGGCCCATGGCTGGTCCCTCCACCTGACCGCACCTCCCCAAGACGCCTGCATGGCCAAGTCCCTCACTTCTGCCAGCTCTTTACTCCGAAGTCATCTTTTCAGCGAAGACCTTCCCCTGCCACACAAACCCCTCAACCTGTGCCGTTCTTCCCCGCTTTCTAACTTTCCTCTTGCAGCACTCATCTCGACCTAACATGCGGTCCGTTTTTATTTACTTTGTTTAGTACGTGTCTTCCTCAGTAACACGTGAGCTACCAGAAGACCCGGATTCTTGTCTGCTTTGTACACAGCTCTTCATCCTCGCCTACGACGATGCCTGGAATACAGCGGGCGCTGAAAAACCATTTGCTGAATGAATGAATCCCTGTCCTGCTACCCCCTCCCCCCGCAACACTCGAGTCCTCTGACACACATACACATGACAGCAAACACGCTTAGGAATCTGTTTTTCCCAGTAGCATCCTTTCTCTGGGCCTGCGTTCCATTTCTCAAACTGGGCTCTCTTCTCTATTTTTCCCCACGCCAAGGTCGGTGCCGGTGCCAGCTGGCTTCCCGGTGGCACCGGCAGGCCACGTCCTCTCTCCGGAAGGAAGTAAGGGAAGAGAGACTCCTACGATGGCAAACCCACTCACGCTGGACCCTCCACGACGCCACTCACATGAAACAGTCGACAGCTGTTCCAACGCGGACTCCGCCGGGAGCAGGTAAGGCCGCCTTCCCCACGCCGCTGCAGCGAAAAGGACCCCTATGAGGTGTCCGCGCCAAACGCCTGAATGTCCCCCAGATCCAACCCCACATTGCCTCCCCCTTCCCGCGCGCGGTCCTATTCACGCGCCGCACCGCGCTCCCCCGCTTCCGTCGCCTCACCCAATGTCGCCGACTCCCTCCGCACCTCTTCCTCTGTCCCTACATTTTCGTCGCCAATTTGGGCAGGCGGCAGGACGCCGGAAGTCGGGGGCTTTTCTTTGCGTTGCGTCGCGGAGGCAGTGAGGTCAGAGGAAATGGCCCGGCGCAGTCGAGCGTGGTGCATAAAAAGCTGGGAGCTGGGGGCGGGGAGGGCGAGACTCGCGCTCCTGGTCACCGTCCTCGGATGCCGCCTCACCTGGCTTACCTGGCAGGCAAAGGGCGAGCTCTGAGCTGCCAGCAGGAGCGGCCTCTTCTGTCGAAGCACCCGAAATGCCGGGTCTGGTGTGCTGAGTAACGGCGGCAACAGCGGCCACAGCGCTGGGGTCCTGTACAGAAACTCCACCGCACTTGTCCTTGCGCCCGCCCGCGTCCCCAGACTCGAGGCAGGTATTCGGATGTCCCAGTTTTCTGTGTCGTAGTCGGGGGTGGGGGGTTGTAGGAGACAGAGGACTGTCTGGAGTTGCGAGTGGTCCCCGCACGTCTGCGGCGAGAAATTGAGCCCAGCTGTGGTCGCCATCGCTCGCCGCCGCCCGCCTCCCCCTGAATGGCGTTCACCTGAGTCCTTGGGGGATTGCGGGCGACTCTTGAAAGTAGCCGCTGCTTCAAAGGAGGCCTTAACGAGGTCAGAAAATCCGGAATCTGCCCTTCCATTACTCGTCGTAGATGCGGGCTTTTGCTTCGGTTTGTTTCTGGTTCTCAAGGTTTAGCCGGTTGTCAAAGCGTAAAACTCCCTTCAGCAGTAGGAGAAAGCGACGCAGTAGAAGGAAGTAACTTTAAAATTGTCAGCGGCTGCTTCTCAAGGCTCCCTGCCCCTGTTTCTATCTGGGATAGAAAGATAACTTTTTGAGAGAAGCTATATATAAAACGAAGGAATTAGTATCATTCTCCCGTTGAAGAAAATGTGAAAACTGTTTTATTCCTGATAAAATCGGCATCTTTTGCCCCATTTTTGACTTTCCCTCCCCTTCGAGTTGTTCGATTCCAAGACCTTTGAGGACAAAGATTGTGTCTTGTTCCCTGTTGGTCGTTGTCCGCACAGTAGCTGGAAAAAGTCTGACTTAAAATAGGGGCTTCAAAGTATTTGTTGAATGAGTTAATTGTCAAACCCAGTTGCTTACATTGTTTTTCTCACCAATCTCTCCCATCAGCGGGTTTTTTTTATTCACCAAGGGTAAGCAAACGTATGTGTATGTTTGTCTGTGAGCCTTTTTGTTTTTTGTACAACCAAGAGGTAGTTGAAGCAGAACACTAATGAAATGTTTTATACTATTTAGTGTTATATCTTTTTGAGTCATTGCATTTTATTGGTTATTTGATTTTTAGTTGTCTAAATGATAAAGGCATATAACTGAAAATCAAACACTATAGTGCAATAGGATTGAGTAATAAAATGCAACGGTTCACTGTCTCACCCTTCTACCCTCAGTGCTGTTCTCTTTTAACCTTTTCTAATTTTAAGTCTGTATGTTTAATAATACGTTAAACTGCTAATTCTTTTTCTATTGACTTCTTAAGGTAGCCCAGACTATCCACAACTTCTCCAAATTTTGGAATAGTTATAATCACA